AGTAGACAGTCCGCGTGCAGTTGCAAAATTTATCTCGAACAAGCCACATAATGGAAACCGAAACTTGTGTATGGCGCAAAATATGGAAAAAGTGTTAAGCTAGAAAAAGTAAAAACAAACGTATAATTATAATAGCTGTGATAACTAGATTCGTCGTACGCTTATACTCACATCTCTCGCCAGACCAACGCGCAAAATACGAAATTTGTTGAAATTTCGCAGCTCGACTTCTGTCTGTTGCTGACGCGCCAAATCGATTCGCAAACACCATTATCAGGAACAGTCCAGGAGGTTAACACTATAATTTGCAAGAACTGTAGCAATTCATTTTATCTACCTGAAATCCTGTACCGCCGAAGTGCATGCATGTGAAGAAAAGACATTGCACAACTACGCTCAAACGCACTGAGATTATGACGAGTAAATGTTGTTCATAGGCTTTCATTATGTGCGCAATTAAGCGTATCAAGTGTATATATATTCAAAATCTCATTAATCTCACCAGAGGCAACAACTGCGGTTTGGTATTTAAACAACGCAAGCGATGATTTACAGCCACTATGGAATGATTGATGAAGAGCGCATTGTGATAGAACTGATTTGATATCAGAAATATTTCATTTCAAAATATTTAGCCAAAATTACACCAAAAAGTAATTCATCATTTTGTTGTTATAAAATCAAAGTGTCAGGTATAAAATATTTTGCAACAACATTGAGCAAAACTTCAGTATAATGCGTTTTTCCATCAGCTGCCGTCAAAATTGCGTAAAAACACTTTCGAATCACATAGCTGTCTTACAGGACAATTTCATTGAAAAGCCGCAACAGACGTTTCTTACCAGCCAAGTACTGCAAAGATTAGAACCATTCCAACGAATTCAGATAACGACGGCGATTTGACGAAATAAAGCAAAGGCTTCGCAACAAAAGCTCGGTCCATTTGAACGACCCAAACAAAAACAGCGTGTTCATTACGATAATCTCTCTCTTTCTACTTCAGTGGTGACAGCGTTAATCTGGTTGGTTCAATATGATTTCGCCACAAATATGTGAGAGGCACAGTGCAAATATACATTAATATATTGAAGTTGTGAAATGATTTTTTATACGTTATATTACTGTTAAAAGGAAGATGGGCGATTGAAGACGACTTTATTGTTCTTCAAAATATTCTAAGTTATAGGCAATATATGGTATTTTTGCAATTCTAGATAACATCGTTATAATACCTCTGACAGGTGCATTTCTTATAGCGTACAAGAAAATTGTCATAAGCGATCCAATTTTCATCATCAGCAAACATCCGCTTTTGGGATGCACGTTAGGTCGACTCCGGGCAGTGCATTCTGAGTATGAAGAATAGTAAAACGAAACAAATGGGTGTGAATATAGGTCTAAACCGAACTTGAAATCGGACAGTGTCCCGGGTGGATCACTGCTTGTCCTCCACGAAAGGCAGCTAAGGAACTTTCCGTTTGAAACCGAAAGGATGGTATGCCAGTCAGCAGAAGCCTGGCGGCTGGATGCATAGGTAGCGCTGAGATTAAGGAATCTTTCACCCTAGAGGATATACAAAAAATTTGACGTTACTGCAATATGTCTCTCCCAAATCGCGATTGGAGGGTCATTAAGCTCGAGAAAACCGGTGAACCATAACGGCAGGTGCTGTGGTGGTCCGCTCACAAATGGTGCTATCAGTTATGGCTTTGAGCGGGTGGTTCTTAGGATCCACCTCTCTCGAGCGATCTCTCTGCGATTTCACCATTTCAAAGAAAAGTTTTCAAATATGGCGCATTGTCTTTTTGCTGATGTCCAGCTTTGACGTGTGTTCAAACTATACTAAGTTAAGCAATCCCAAAACTGTCTGAAAATGTTTTTGTACGAAATCTTATCTTTCTAATTTAACGTTAGTCAACGCCAGATAAAGATTGCTGAAGTCATCTGTTAAAAAATAATGAATTTACTTTTACTAAGCCTAATATTTTTGATATTTCTATTAGCATTATTTATTGTGTTATTATTGCATTGCGACCATTTCTATTGTTATGTACAGTAAACAATTATCTACTTAATTGCGCATACCTTATCAGATGACATATCAAACGAGTTTAACCAACTTAATAGGTCAATAAACTGGAATATATTTGTAGATAATCAATCAGTCATCCCTTATTAAATCCATCACCATGACCCATACGGACATTACTGTGCAGGTGGCAAAGCTGCAGTACGGAGTCTCACAGCATATAAGGTGACCGCGGCAACCAGTTGAAAAATGTGTAGTAAACTTTTACTGGGCTACATGCTTAATTATCATCAATAAAAAAATATTTATTATAAATAGTAAGAGCTCCCTTACCACCACACGCTGAACGTGGCTCGCTTTCGCCAACTTAACCAAAGAACTTCAGTGCTACTGTGGACTGTCCGAGTGCCTGTGCGTGCGGCGTCATGAGCTCGCGTTGGCGTATCGGTCTCGCGCGATTTTTCTACAACTCGACAATTTGGTTTTCCATTGCATTTGGCATATTACCGTTTCGTTATAATACGAAACTGCAAAGAATCTCAACATCAAAATACAGCTTGGTCTATAGTATTTGCGCTAACGTGCTGATAGTATTGGTATCCTTGGCGGCTTGGCCAAGCGACGATTTTCTGGATTTGGACTTATTGAGACACAATAAACTAATGAGTCTACTGACCAGGGTCATAATCGTATCGAATATATATACCTTAATTACGATTGTTGTGATAAATTGGCGCGAATACAAATCGGTGTTGCACATTTTCGACGAATTCGCTGCCATCGAGCGGAGCTACATTGCCAAGCATGGCGATTTAGCGCGCAGTTGCAGCACTTTCGATGCCTACATCATTTGGAAGGGTATGGCAACGCTTTTGCAAAACATATCCTTCATTGTAGTCGGTGCCAATTCAGCGGTTATAAACACGAGTGTTGCGCTTTTACTTGGCATTGCATTAACGCTGGGCAACGTGAGTTTCCTTGTCGTGCTGCACTTTTATAATTTTGTCATAACCACTTATCGTTACTTGTGGATACTGGAACAGCGCCTAAAATATTTGACCAACAAAAGAACTAAGCCGATGCGACTGAGCAAAATCACGTATGAGGTGTATGAAATAACGGGCATCTATTTGCGTTTGATGAAGTTGTGCAAACGCTTTGGCAGCGTTTATGGCCAGCAGCTGTTGACCAGTAACTTCTCTTTAATGTGTAAGAACATACAGTCGTTATATCATTTACGCGTCATTTGGAGCAACAAGGTTAACGAGTTGTCCGCTTGGGATATATTTTATACGTCACAAGCGCTGCTGATAAACCTTTTTGACTTTTGGCTCACTGTTTCGGCATGCGAATTGGCGTTGGGCATAGCGCGGGATATAGCGCAGCTGCTGAGGAGTTTTAATGATTTGGCGAAATCGGATAAGGAGCTCGATAAAAATGTTAGTTTTGTGTGGGAATAATTACTTTAATTATTTAAATAATAAAACTGTTTTAATTTTTGTGTTCGTAGTTGGAGATTCTAGCTGCCGTCTGCAGAAACAATCCGCCGCAATTTCGTTTGTGTGGCTTGATCGATTTGAATAACTTGACGGGCCTAAAAGCTTTGATGTCTATGATTGTATATCTGATATATTTAGTTCAATTAAGTTACAATGACTTTTGAAAATATGGTCTTCAACAAAAGCAGCTCGAATGTCTATGGTATATTGTATATGGTATATTGTATATGGTATATAGAAATAAAATCCACCGCTGCGACTTTTCTTCAAGGGATCGCCCGAATTGATTTATTTTTAACCTACTGGAAAGCTTAATCGAGATCTGTGCATCATATTTGGCATAATATTCAAATAATCTACCGAAAGTAACTCATTAGCTCTACGGTTCTGACATAAGACTCTATGCATTTCTATTTTCCTAGAATAGCCGACATATACATATAAAATCTTTAAAACTTGATATAAGATATGGAACAATTTTGTAGTTATCAGGTTAGCTCTTATATTTCAACAAAAGAAGATTTTGAATGGATTGTTGGTGGCCTACAAGCAATTTCTCCGGTATTGGGTTCCACTAATTTGGGAACATTTTAAACCGTTATGTCTGGGAGACATTATGGGCCAACGTTTAGAGGGTTACATAGAATTTACCATTACTTTGTCTATTTATCTTTACTAGCAGATACTTTTTAGAATGCTAATGGGTCTTTCCGTATAAATTCATAGTAGATTTAAAAATAAAAACTATACTACTCTTTCTTCTTCTTCTTTGGCTTTTCAAACGTGGATCGGTCTGGGACGAGAACACAAAACGTCGCCAGTTACCTATATCCATTGCAAAGTCAAGTTAATTGTACATCTCATGTGCAGATAGCCCCCTATGCACTTTGTCCTTCTATTGAATGTGAAGGCGCCCTTGTTTCCGCTGTTCACGCATGTGTCTCAAATTGGAGGAGCTTTTCGCTGAATCATTGTATACCACGCATAAGACTTGATCTCACCAGTGCATTCGTTTGATTTTTAACCACTTAACAGATCCAAGGACCTTGCGGGGAACAGTTTTCTCGAGTGCTTCAAATGCTTTCACATCTCGGTTCGTCATCGTTCATGTTTCTGTGCCGTATGATATATTAACTGCCTACCGATCTCAAACTAGCAACTGTTGGCAAGAGTTATTCTGCGGTTGATCTTTATAGCTAGATTGTTGGTGGTATATATGCTGGTTCCGAGATAGACAAAGTTCTTCACTGTTTTTAAAGCGGCTAACAGTGACGTATTTCCCAAAACACGAGGCTGTGCGGCTTTTAGGTACCCTGTTCTGCCCTCGTTCACTATAAGACCAACCTCTCTCGCTTCTCTTTCTAGCCTGGAAAAGGCTGCGTTGACGGTAATACTACAGAGTTGCTTATATTCATAAGGCCGAGGTTCTTTAATAACAAGTAACATTAAATATACTACCTTCCTCAACCCAGAGTAATCGATGCATTATTGTACACAAAGAATTCAGTTCAATTACTTTTCAGTAGATGCTATAAAAAGTTGCCATATTTAGCAGTAATCAAATCAAATAAAAAGTAGTAAAAAATATATATTTTACTACGAAATAAAATAGGAAAACATTTTCGAGCAAAAGTGTTAAGACGTGTCGCATTCAAGCGATAACGCCAGAGTATCAACTATTTGCCAACATTTTCGTTATATTAAAGGCAAGCGTATTAAAAGCTAAGAGAAAATACTGCCGCTCAATACTCGTAAGTGTAAATATTATTCACTGTTAATTTTACAATAAGCTTTTTGTGCCAGGAGCAAGTAAATAACACAATTGCCATTACCCACAACGTCCTTCCTGCCGCGGCGCTCAACGCTTTTATTAGCCATTATTGTGTCGACCATTTTCGCTTGTCCGCCTACTCAACGGTGATGCCAGCTTGTAAGCTGAAAGCAACATAAACATGTATACAACACAATGCCAGGAAGTTGTTGCCGAGCAGCCAAGAGGCTGAATGCAAAAACACACACCTTGAACACGGTGCAAATGGAGTAGCACTCTCACCATGTAATGGAAATTCCTGCTCACTTCAATTGGCAACGACAATAAATTCGGAAATTTTACATTTTACAGCGCCAGGCGGCGGAAAGCACCGAAAGGACCGAAAGGTGAAAGGTTCACATCACGTTAGTGTAAAAGATTGCCGAATGATGCGGATAGGAAGACAAAGAAGGTTAAGAAAGAAAGGAAGACAGCGTAAATAACAGCATATCGTGTAATAATTGAAAAGAATAACTGTATAATGAAATTTGTGAGTAAGTACACTGTGGAAGGGCGAAATAAGCGCACTTATTTAATCTCATTTAAGAGCACATACCACACGCTTTACTTGTATGCTGAGAGCATATGTTTCTGCATGTCGAAAATTACGAGTTCGCTCTCAACACGAGAGCCAAAGCGAGTGCAGCAACGTCAGACTTAGAAGCTACATTTTAGTATAGTAAGCTTGTTTAAATACAAAAAAAAACGTTGAAAGTAAAAGTTTATAACAAGTTTAATTTAGAAATACTATTCTCGTTTGAAGTCTTTATTAAAGTGCAATAGGGTATATCAATAGTTGTATTTGGGTTAGGTTATACTGGCTGGCTGCCACGTCATACATAGACCCGCAGGTCCTTTGTAATCCCAGCTGGAAGTTCAGTTTAAAACGAGCCGAAATCTACGTCGTGAAAGGTTAGGACGAAAATGCGTGTTATCTTTAATAAAGCCCATACGGCTCACATGTAATGCCAGTAAATTGTGACTTGTGACTAGGCCTACAACCGTCCTGCAGTATTTTCGAAACTGTGTAACTAAAAAGCATGCGTGTTTTCCTATCGTTCCTTTCCCCATGATCATCCTATCACCCTGATCTTTTTAGTCAGGTCAGGTTAGCTCTTTCACAAATTTTATTGTGTATAGTTTTTAGCGACTTGCGTATTTTCTGAACTGGTTCGGTAGCCAAGCGCACGGCACTTTTCGTAATCTCATCAGCTATTGCGTTTACCGGAGCTCCCTTGTCGCCTGAAACTCAGTACATAAGCTGTCGCTTTTCGACAGCCACTATATCTACTACCTTCTTGCTTTTGAGAACGTTCTCTGACGATATTTATCTATTACATTGCTTGCCGCTTGGCAATCGGCTATATACATTAATGTCCTTTATGTTGTTTTCTGTGTTATTAGCTATCTCAGCAGTATTGCTGACCGCAAAGACTGTTGCTTAAAGATACTGCATTATTTTGACAGCTTGAAGAGTCGCCAGTAATTTAGCTCAGCACAATAGTTTCCGGCGCCCATTCCATCAGCCAGTTTTGATCCATTTGTGTAGATGTTGAAAGCTCCGCTGGTGGGTGGCATGCTCCCGCGCACTCAAAACAAGTATTTAGTGTTACTGAAAAGTCATACTTTCTTAAAATAAAACCAATACTAATATTAGAGATAGCAATATTTTCTAAAGTCGCTGAATCAAAAAATGAGATTTTCTATTAAAACAATTGTAACTTGCCCCAACAAGAAGACTTAAAACGGCACCTCAGTTCAGATTGAGTTTTCCGGAAATTTTTTATATATAAATAAATACATCTCTGCAAACGAAGTGCCAAAGAAAGCTTCCAGAAAATGTAAGGTGAATATTTTAAATTTCAGAACACACTTAAAATAATCGCATGTCCTCGAACAGGCTTAAATTGTTAAAGTTCTAACTACTACTTGAACAGGTAAATACGCACATACGAGTACAAAACGTACGCTTGGCTTGTTCTATATTTAATCTCCGAAATAAAACATCCTACACACGATAATGTTTACAGAATTCAATTTGTTTCGCGCTTTTATTTAGTTGTGCTCAGTCAAGCCACTTTGTATGCCAACAGCGAATAGTAAATATATGCCGAATAGCATACCCTGTGAGGCATATAGGAACTGAATGTCGTAACTGCAAGTTTCAAGAAAAATTAGGAAATTAATATATTTTTCGACACACAGGAAAATAAAGACTTTAGAAAAAATCGTATATCTGTTTAGAGCCGAGATTTGAACTTAAACTTGAAGGACTCTATATTTAATGTTATATAAAATAAGTTTTATTTACAAATTATAAAATATTCTCTTAAGCTCAGTTTTTGGTTTCTGGTTGAACAAAAAACGAAAGTTTGAAATATAATATATTTAAAATGCTTGCAACAAAGTATTCGGTAAGAAAAAAGTGTTTTCCAGCTTAGTACATACAATGATTTCGTTCCTATGCGTAGTCCTATACTCACATCTATACATATATACTCACATCTATACTTTAATATGCATACGTTTCACAGAAGTTTTATTTGTAGACTTTTGTGCGAAAAGAGTTTACTTTCTGGGGTAATGTGCATTTTGTGCCAAAATTGTAGCCTCGAGCTGCTTAAGTATGCGTTGTCACGTATTTTGCCTTATTCTTTTATCATCCTTTCTGTTTGTTGCCAATTTTTGGGCGTAGCTAATGCGAGACACTCTATCTAGTTTTCGATATATTACAACACTACCACTACTACTACAGCTTACATACACTGTTTCGCATTTTTTGTAGTACTCCTCAGCCCATACTTCTGACAATTTCTTTTTTCGCACATTCATCACAACAAAATAGTTGCAAGCATTGGCAAAAAAGAAAGTGCGTATAAGTCTACAAATTATAGCAAGGAATGTTATGGGTGACGGTTAATAGTACACAACGGATTGAGAATGGCTTTAATCATGCTAATGTAGTTTCGTGCATTTCAAAGAGCCTCGATTCTGAAGCAGACTTGACGAAATATTCATTATTTGCGATGGGAAGAGTAACAATATTAAATTCTAAGATTTCTATACTACTCTTGCAACATGTTGCTACAGAATATAATAGTTTTGTTCCCCTAACCGTTGTTTGTAACACCTAAAACTAATCGAGATAGAT